ATCAATCCCGCGAAAATCTCCTGTTTAACTGCTCGCATGACTTTCATGACGGAAGGCAGAGTTTCTTGTCTTCCGGCATTTTGGAATCTGTGTGGCAGGAGAGTCCAGTCATTGCTTTCGTGATGAGCATGACGCTTTCATTGGGTAGCTGGAGGAAGGTTTCAAGTAGAGTTTCAATCTTCTCTTTGCAGACGACGCTCGTGAAAATAGCTAAGATGTGCCACGTTGCGAGGATTGACTAGTGGATCTCGTACCTCATACTGGTGGCGTCTTGCAAGGCAAAATAGGCAACGTAGCTTGTCGTCATTGCTCCAGGCATTGAAAATGTCCTGCGGTTGTACACTTTGAGCCAGCTTTTCGGGTCTCCAAACAATGATTCTTGGTAGGTTGACCGCTTCTTGGGTTATAACATGACTTCCGAGGGCGTAGGCGCAGAGGCTGTCATTATTGCCGCAAAAGTAATCATGGCCTTAATCTTCCTGGTCGCTTCAGGTAGACGACCGTACTCTAGCTCGAGATTAGCGTCGATGCCTTCTTTCAGACTTGGACTGAATTCACGGCTTGATGGGGGTGTCCGGAACATGAATGAGGCAGCATCTCCACCAGATGTTATGTGGACGTGACTGGGAGGAAGGCAGCAGTAAGCTTCTTTGAGATAAGTTTTTTCAAGCCTGCTTAGTAAAAAACCTGTAGTTAGCACTCTCGTTGAAATATCGGATCACAAGTTGATTACATTAACCCCCGAATGCAGAGATGTTACTTGGCTCGCGACTTCGACTTGACTTGAGCAAGTCGGCGTGAAGCAAGCAGCGGACTTCAAAACGCCCAAGTCAGCCTTCGCGTTCCATAGATGCTCAGGCTGTCTTGCTTGGTCAAGTCAAGAACGAGCTTCAAAGCAGAAACACGCTGCTCGCCTGCTAACGAGGGTAATAATGAAGTTGTTCACGTAAGGCATGTGTTACAGCAAAAAAAGACCATACGTTTTAAAACAACTATAAAAACGAAGGGCTACAAGCATATTTTTGCTATTTTACGACTAACGAGCGGCACGTGGTGCCTGCCGCCACAGTAATGCGCAGTGTTGCTTCTGTAAAGCGTTCATTGCCCGCTGGTCTTAGTGGCCACCCAAATGCGGCGTGTTTCTCCACGGTTGCTTGTTTGGAGGCGAAACAAGCATCGCGTTGGGTTCTTTCGTCTTTTTTTTTTCAATTGAATGCCATGGCGTGCATTTGTGCTGACCTGGCTCACGAGGTAACGCAATTTTCACGGTATTTGCCTTTCACGGTATTTGCCTGTGGACATGCTTTTAGTGGGCTAGGTCGCAGTTATATATGAAAAAAAAAAAAAAAGTTCCGAGAAAAAATGTGATTCGTATCCTTTTGTTGAGCTTGCTAAAGAAGAGAAAAAGCGGGGGTCAGGACATTGCCCTCAGCAGAGTTTTGTCTCGCAGGGTGCAGTAATGTCTCACTGCATGATGGTGAAGCGGATGAAAAACCCGTGTTAGGGGCACCTCTTTTTTAGGTGTGTGGAGTTTTACGTAGCTTTGTGCTACAAACGATGCCTTTCGGAGCAAGAAACAGCGCCCTAGACGGGACGAAAGGATAGACGAGGCACACAGACGCAGTGCCGAGTGAATTTTGTACCGAAAGAGACGTAAATTGTCGTCATGTTTTAGAAAAAAACAGAAATAGCCTTTGCGGTTACGAAACACTTCGGCGTCGTCACTACCGGGGCTATTGACACGCACGTGTCTGTAGTTGACACAACCTGTAACGCCAGGGAACTCAGCAACTTCATAAAAGTCCCGCATAACTACAGGAAGTGCTGCTGGTTGCGGAAAGTGCACCAGCATTGCGTACAGGTGCTTTGCGACGAGTAGCGTAACTTTTCCTACTGTCGACTTCGGAATGTGGACGAGATTCCCGGTGACTGTTCGGAATGTGCCCGTGTAGTAAAACCTGAGAGCCATCAGTAGCTGTAACACTGGAGGCACCGGGTGTCTTCGGTTGCCCCCAATTTCACGGAGCGGCAACATACCCAGCAGCTGCCGCACGACGTTCTTCGTGAATCTGTATCGAGCTTGGAATTGTTCCTCGTCGTACAACTCCATCGGATTTCCTCGGTCACGTAAAGCGGGTCAAGAATCTTCGGCAGGCAGTGCGCCTCATAAAATGCTATGCTTATGACGAGGTAAGCAAACTCAAAAGCAGCCACCCTCCACGCGACGCTCATTCGAGAGGTGGCCATGTTGGAATAACGCGTGAAGTCGCTTTCAGGCTAGCCCCGCAGCTGATTTGAAACTTGTCCTGACTTCGACCGAGCCAAGTTGCCTTCAAGTCGTCCGCAAGTTCGAGAACGATTTATGGCGACCGGCAAGACTGTCTTGAGTCAAGAACGAGTCAAGTACAAGTCAAGTAACATCTCTGCATTCAGGGGTAAGACTCAATCTTAGCAATGTGCCTAAAATAAGAACGAAGTGTGCATTGTCTCGGCTTTTGCATGTACGAATAATGTGGGCATTTTGGATGTATAGAATGACTTGTTCTCGAATTTTCTTTCTTTTTATCAATCAAGTGACTGCAGTATCGATGAGTTATGGCTATTTTTCAAAAATCTCGTTCTTAAGTGTATCGAATATTTTGTACTTATCGAAACTCAATGTATAAAAAAATTTAACAACCATGGCTTACTAAAGAAGTTGTTCGTCTTGAGTGCAAAGAGAAAAGAATTTTAAAAATGTGCCAGCAATGCCCCTCTCCTGCGAATGCATCAAAACTGTGTGCGATACACTCGGCCTTAGAGACAGTATAGCTGGAGCTAGAAACTGCTACTTCAACGAGACATTGAAAAGCTTTCTTCTCATGTCTCCGTGAAAACTCTGGAGGCATTTTTCCTCAAGACAAAATCGCAGTTAAATCTTTCTGTGAACGGCCGCAACGAATCAGATAAACTAGCATTTGCATAGACTTTTAACAGCTCTTTCTGCTCCGTATTTTCTGCACAGATTCACCTAGCAACAGTCAAAGCAGATCACAGTTCGACAGAGTCAAAAGCCACGCTTTTCACGCATCTTTGCATCATGATAGTGCACCTCTACATTTGTATTCAACATGAGAAGTGCGTGTATGCACAAGTTGTAATATCTTTTATTTTTGGCATACAGCCGATGAAAGAGTACGGCAATGATTTGTTGCCACATACTCCAGGCGTACTGCATGGAAATTATAGCGGTAAAGTGAATAGCTGGCATTGCTCTTGAATATATGCATTAAGTGTAATCACTCATATACTATAACTGGGCTCATTAGTTCGTTGTTGATATTGATTAATCACTGGCAGCAGAGCTCGACAGTTTTTGTTGTGGATGAAAATCTGTGCACTCTGAAAACAGCACACCGATGCGATTCCTCCGTAGTGCTGTGATCTTGACAGACAGTGCTGATACTATCTCCCTCTTGCACTGATTGCTTTAGCATCCAAAGACGACACAATGATTCTCAGACAACTTCTTGTAAGCAGGAGTGCCCCGAATAGGTGCTTTCTCGTATTTTTAAGTCCCGGAGATGCCGATTTTCATGTTAACTTGGTGAAACAGATACAAGCCTTGGCAGTTAAAAAAAAAAGTGGCCGTCTTGTTGCAAGAGTATGTGCTAGGAGTCCAGGTGCCTAGGTGCGAGATAGGCGTGCTCTGGTCTATTCATCACGTATCGAATTTTCCAGCCTTATCACTGGTGGTTGCGCAAGCTCTGGAATAATCTTGAGTGTTCGTGCCCTGTGTGCAACCTTAACAAATGATCTACTACAAACGTAAAGCTTTTTGAACAGTGAGACAACCTGCGCCGAGTATAGCTCACAGGCTTTGTGGGTTTAAACTGACCACACGAAAATAACACGTGTGGCAATATCAAGCCAACATTCTCGAGACTTTAGTTCACTTAAAATGAACTTACATTGAACTTCCCTGATGGGAGCGCTATTTCTCTGAGCTTTTCCACACTATTGGAAATTCCTGAGAATGCCCCGTTTTCCAAGTTTTCCCGGTCAGAAGACACCCCGCTTCAATAAACGTCTCCTATTCTTTCCTTGGCATCATTGCCTGTTAGTTGTCATTGACATTGTGAATTCGAAAAGTAGGAGTCCTACAAAAAAATGCACTAATGCACGACAAGAACAATGTGAACTGTGCCGAAAAAATCAGCAAACTCTCCTAACTTTGTATTACGCTTTTGTCCACAGTCACCTAAATTACTGCATTTCTTCCTGGGGTGGTACGTATCATACCCACATCGCCCCATTAATAACACTGCAGAAACAAGCGTTACGCATCATTACATTTTCCCATCGACAAGCAAAATCTTCCCCGCTGTTCTATCAGCTGCGTGTTTTGCCCCTTCATCATCTGTTTAGGTACAGCATTGGTATTTTATTTTTTAACGTTTTGCACGATCACCTTGTCTTAGATATTCTCCCTCATTGCATCACTAATAATCTCAGTTCAACGCGCTTTGCCTCACGCCAGAATCTCTTACTTCCGTGTATACACACTAACTACGGCAAACAAACGGTTCTATTCTCGGCCATTTCGCTCTGGAATTCACTAACCTCTGATGTTAAATCTTTTAAATCCCTTTGCATTTTTAAATCCAAACTAAAGACTTTCTTGTTAGGCCCTTCTGTTTGATTGAATTGTAACTGTATATCACATAAATAAGACATTTGTACTCTGTTACCGAGCATAAAAACATCAAAAAACAGTCCTTATGAAGTGTGCCAATCATGTAGATTTCACAGCAGAGGGAATGCGCACTGCATAACAACCCTGGACTGCTCCTACCAGATTGAATTTTTAACACCATTTACTAGTTCTTTGCCGTCCTCAACTGCACTCTCTGTGTAGATGCATACTCTGCAACTGGCTATCTGCGGATGCATTATGCAGCCAGTTTACAGAAGTGCTGCAAGTGCAAGCTATCATAAATTCCCACTAAGTCCTCACTCACAGTGGCTGCAGCCCGTCCAAAGCGTACAATGCCAATGTTGGAGACATCCCACTGGTTGTTGCGTAATGCCAGGTAGGTGGCACCACCGCTGCCAGCCAGGGCACCCAGCTGGAGGAATCGACGCAACATGGCCGGTTGCCGCTGCAAATGGCGACACCGAAAAGGCACCTGTGTCAAATCAATGATACTACAGGTTTTCAATAAATATCCTATGATCGATTTACTTATCATATTTCATTGCAAGGAAACTCCTCAGTGATGCGGAAGCGCTTTGTCACTGCTAAAGTTGCTTTGAAAAGACCAAGTAATGAAACACTCTACTGTGTAATGTACTATCAGTTCTGTGGAGGTAGCTTGCATAAAAAAGTTACAGGGTGTCGCTGCTTATGGCATGTGCATACCTTAGAAATTTGAAAATCCCTCATAGTCGCAGATGTTCATCCTTCGAATTCGAATGTACCGAGAAGTGCAAGAAAAGAGATTACACCGTTACGTTAGAAAGAAAGGCTCCATGGCATTAAGTACTGAATTTTGAATGAGAGCGCACCATGGCAGTACTTTATTAAAAATATCAGCAAGTCCTCCCACTCGTATGAGCACACTCATTTACAACTGGGCGTAATTGCTTGTGGACGATCCAAAACACAGATGTCTTTTATATCGGGCACAAGCAAAATGCCACCACCACTTTCTACAGTGAAAGCCAATATGAGATCCCAACTTGGGTCTCGCGCAACGTCGTAGTTGTCCGCCACCGCAGCCACCGCCGGTGTCTATAACCACATCCCAAAAAATTGACCAAAAAACCTAGTACCATTAACACAGTGGAGCTCAAACCTGGGTCCACTGGGTGCCAGCCCAGTATTCTACCACTGAACCACGCCAGGTGCTTGGGACTTGTTGGCAAACTTGCCTTAAGCAGGCTTGATTTCGGAAAAGCAATCACGTTAATACGACTTATAAAGCGTTTTAAAGCAGCAAAAGAACAAGCAAGTCGTCATACAATGCGAATAATGTAACAAGTGGGTCGTCAAATGCTAGAACCTATTATAAAAGCTTGTTTTTGTTCAGCTATTAACTGTGGTACATACCCACTTTAGGCATAATTTCTCATCGTCAGTCACTGCATGAACAATTGAGACAAAATTCCTCACGATAGTTTAGCGGATACCACGCTTGTCAGAACAATGACGAAAAATGGCATTGCCAATGCTGGCCTGTAACCATAAAATATTTATTATTAATGCCGTAGTGGGCATCAAGCAAATGTGGTTGCAGCAGTTATCCAATGAGTATTAAGAAAACGGCTCTGCAAGACAGCTGCACCTTCCGTGCAGGCCTGGCATTATTTTCTTTTCACTGTACAGTGCAAAACTTACAGCCAGTCCTTGTGGTGACTTTTCTTGCAGAGAATTCAACAAGTTAAAGAGTGCTTCGCATCTATTTCTACTTTCAAAAGAACGGGATAAACAGCACCCATCCCACATAAAGAAATAAACAGTACATTTAAGTGTATTACATTATGTTAGACAACTTCCCATTTTCCCATGAGACTGCACTAGAATGAGCCTTCATTCAAATTTCTGTTTGGTATAACAGTGTAGACCCTATTCCTGAGCTCTCGGTGCCTAAAGTTCAATATTGACTGTATTTCAGCCTTGAGGTGGGTTGAGAACATGTGGTGAGAACTGACAAACACTAATGTGATGCGAAGCAAAGGGGATGTTATTAGAAGTACTCGTAATGTAGTTATGAAGAAAGAAAAGCGGACGAAAAGATAACTTGACGTGGGTGGAGACCAAACCTGCAACCTTCAAATAACGCATCTGATGTTCCACCAAATGAGCTACCATGGTGACTATCTTCTTGTCCACTTTATAGTATATGTATGTGCATTTAAAAGTCAATCAGCGCCGCCAATTGCCATTGCGGAGAGTGTGGGACACTCATTTTTCACCTGTTGGCATCACGTAGCATGTGATCTCATCACAAGCTGGCAGCTGACCATTAATCTATTGCATACCACCTGAAGGAATTAGGGCAAGTGTGGAACGCTGTTTCTTTGAGAGATATGGATGAATTCAATCTTGTAAGTTGTTGGTGTGATCCACTCAGGTGGTGCTTATCTGTCAGCTCCAAACAAATAAGCAGAGCATGGTCACAGTAAAAGGACAGTCATCCACTTGGTTTCTTCATAAAAGAATGTCACTGAATTCTGCCCTTTGTTAAGATGCCACCACAATGTCTCAATGACACATGATCGAAGTCAGCGTTAAATTCGAGTAACTCACAGTTTTCATCCAACACATTTAGGGGACACAGCACGTTCATCTTGGACAGGTTAGCATCTTCAAAAGCAGAAGGACAGGTAAACACAAGATGAAGAAAAAAAACACAAAATGTGTTGATCTAATGTGTGGAAATTTTCATGCTCCGTATGTGCTGCTCATTATTTTTTTCAATACATCACAAGAACTGTTCAAAGACCGACCTACAGCCAGTAGCATCACTGCATCATGATGACACTGTGGTCAAATGCTTTAGTGCCACAGTCACAAAAACAATAATAAAGTGTGTTGCTCTGCCCTCACATACCTTGACCAAAATGGTCGCCTCCTCTGTTTATGACAGTCCCTCAGCGTCATCACTGCGATTGCACCTTTGAAAGCTGAATTTGCCATTTTCATTCCTATCCCCATTTGAATTATGCAAAACACTGAGCTTGTGTGTTGTGCACAGTGTTTGCTAATGATGACTGTCATCTATGCGGCGATCACTGGCTATGTGCAAAAACCAGAATCAAGCACAGAGGCGAATTCCAGAAGAGCAAAAATTCACCTATCAGTAATAAAGATGATATTAACTGCTCCATCTGAACAACAAAATCTTTTATGTGTTTTCTATAGCAGGAAAATTCAAAAAATTGTACAGAAATTTTATTATCTTTCAAAATAGCAGCTTCCACAGGAACTATTTTAAAGCACTGATGCACTCATAAAACCTTGGGTTCGAGTGCTTACTGTAGGCGTAAAGCGGTCAGCTGTGACGTCATGCTGATGCAGCAAGACAACGAAAAGCTGCACTGCTCTCTACTTGTAACAGAGTACAAAGGCCCATGTACTGCGTGATGGCAGGTGCACGTTGAAGAACCGCAGATGGTTGAAACTTCCCGCACCCTTCACTGCGGCGTCCCTTATAATTTCATCATGGTTACGGACGGACGTAAATCACCAGATAATATTATTATCTGTGTTAGCAGCATGGTTTATAAATAACATACCAGCAGATTGGAGGAATCATCCTACAAATACTGGATTTACAGTAAACATGCGGAGCATTACAATTAACAGATGTTTCTTTTCACATAAGTTAGCAGTATAGCTTTACACAATGCTTTTATTGAAACAAGCTTAATCTCCAAATGGAAACTTGGACATAAGCTGTTACCTAAAACATGATGTACTAATCACAAGTTGTGCTGGATAAGTATTGTAAATATCCAGCCTAGCCAGAATTAAAGACCGGTGGAGCACAGCTCTCACTACTACTGCAAGAAGTTGGAGGAAACAGCTGTTGAGGATTATTAAAGAAACAACGATAAGCTAACTTTCTGTCAAAAAAAAAAAAAAGAAACACCAGGCCTGCACGGGACATGCAGCATTGTCACAGCGAAATTCGGAAGAGCAGCCTTTCATAACCTTTTTTTAACACTACTTGGGTAGCTTAAGCAAGAACACTTGCAGGGTACCCACTATGCCATAAATCATTGTTTAGTTGGCAGGCATAAACGATGTCATCCATTGTCATTCTTCAAAGAAGCTTGGTGCCTGCTGCACACTTGCAACGAGCTTTGTGCAGTTTTATTGTGCTCTGGCTGACTACGACGAAGAATTATGCCAGAAGATTTTGTAATCCCTACAATCCCCTCGAGCGCGTATGCACCACAGTTAATAGGTGAGCAAGATCAAGCTTTTGTAAATGATTGGAGCATTCGACGACCCACTCGTTATTCAACGCGCATTATATTAACACGATTCCTTCACCGCCATGAAGCCTGCCTAAGGCCAGTTTGCAATGGAGTTCCAAGCACCGGTGTTATCACGCATGAAAAACGTGTGATAGTGATTGTCATATTAGCTAGACCTGTAATCAAGAAGGCAATAAAGAAAAAAAAAAACAGTGTGGCTCAGTGGTAGAATTCTGGGCTGGCACGCAGCTGACCAGGGTTCAAATCCCATTGTGTCCTTAAGGCTCTTCACAAAGTTTTTTTTTTCTTATTTCATGCAATAGTTGTTAGGTATGGCGCTTTAGAAGCATGGAAATTATGGGTAGTACATAGATTTGCCTAGTCTTTGTACTTTACGTTCCTTCTGGTTTTGCGTTGCTTGAAGCTGTTTTCTCATGAAAAAACAATTGGCAAAGTTTGGCATTTACGCTTCACAACCTTCACCATTGAGGATCACCATTTCAAATCGGGTCACGAAGTTTAAAAGGATTCGTTCTTTCTTTCGAAACAAAACCGAAACACAGCAATAAACGAAGCCACAAGTGCTATTCACGGCTCGCAAGTATGAAAGCTACGCAAATCTATGCCATACCCATAATTCCCATCGTCGCTAAACGATTGCAGCGCCAGAGTTCCCTCTAGCAAAGCACAGCTTAACCACTTAACTCTACAAAGCGACCTTCACCGCATTAATGACTGGTGTAACAAATGGTTAATGTCCCTGAACACGGAAAAATGTAAAATAATCTCCTTTACGCACAAACAAAACGTTTGCACTTTCCACTACACTATCAATAATTCTGCACTATCACAGGCATCATCCTATAAGTATCTTGGTGTCCATTTCACACCCAATCTCTCCTGGTCTCACCACATCACCACCATTAGCGCGAAAGCCTCCAAGTCCTTAGGATATCTACGCCGTAACTTACATAGCTGTCCCGCTCACGTCCGTCAACTAGTCTATCAAACCTTTGTCCGTCCACAGCTTGAATTTGCCGCTCCTATCTGGTCCCATTATCACAACTACTTAATTAACATGCTTGAAGCTATTCAGAATAGGGCGGCCCGTTTCATTTCACGCAATCATGACTATCGCAGCAGCATAACGCAAATTAAAAACAATCTTTCTCTT